TCCTCCCACTCACCTCCCTCCGCCTTTCACGATCCTTAGTGGGCTCCATCCTGCCCAGTTCGGGAGGGCACCCCCTTCTGTGTTTCCCAGGGAATCCCACCCTCAAAGTAGGTGCCCTCCTACACTCTTTGGAAGTGCAGAAGGTGGGTGAGGTGCAGCTAAGGGCTCAGGGAGAGGTCTGGTCCCAGCAAAGGGGAGGGAGAGCAGGAACTCGGGTTTGGTCAGGGCTGAGGGTCCTGCAGGCCAGGCCAGGGCTCCTGGAGGCTGTTCTCAGTGTCCAGGGCCACAGCCCTGAACTCACTTGATCTTGTCTGATCTCAGAAGCCAAGCAGGATTGGGCCTGGTTAGCACGTGGATGGGAGACCACCCAGGAATACCTGGTGCCGTAGGCTTTTTTGCTCCCCAGACCCCAACCACAGGCACACAAGCCCACAGGCCTAGCCCAACTCAGTTCTTTTGTTAACTGGCTTGCCAGGCTCTCTATGATTATTTTGTAATTCTTGTACACAACGCACACCTCAAACATCACTTTCTGCTCTGAGTTTCCTTTTTATTTTCTTGACTAGAGGACCAGTGCATGACATTCTTGCACATGGAGGGGAGGGGGGTGTCCTGGGGGAGAAGTCCCTCAGCCCAGCCTGCATCTTCTCACAATCCGGGACCTCTTGGGGGATGTCAGGCCTAAACTGGCAGTCGGACATCCCTCTCACAATCCAGATGCTGCATGCACCAGTGACCATAATTTTCATACAGGTGAAAGGCATGTTACTGTTGTATGGGAAGCTACATTTTTTTCCCCCCCCTAATTATAAAAAGTAGTACATAACACGATCCTTCCAAGGCAATAGTACCATTTCCCCCATCTTATGGGTGGAAAAAGTGAAGCAGAGAGAAGTTAAGTAATTGGCTTTGTTACACAGTTATAAGTGTCAGAATCATGGCTGACCACAAAATATACAAGCCAGAGTCCATGTATCTCATCACTGCATCATCCTGTTTTTTCAGTGTTAGAGTAGCTTTGCCAGGTTTTAATTTTTAAATCTAGGAGATTGTTTCCAATATATAGATAGGATCCCTAGGCCTGGCTGGCAATCAGGGAGGACTATGTATAGGAGCGACCCAAAGGTGGGGTGATCAGGCCCCCACCCCCTTGCTGGGAACTGCCTTGGCTGGCGGCCTAGTGCCGCCTGCTGCCTGGCCCCACCCCGGATAGCCGCCAGTTGCCTCCCTCTGGGAGCATCTGCCTCCCTGGTGGTCAGTACATGTAATAGCAACCAGTCATTCCACCATTTAGTCAATTTGTATATTAGGGTTTTATTATATAGGGTGGAGTCTTTTGATGAATGAAAGTTCTTAATTTTAAAGTTGTCTATTTATCAGTGTTTCTTATTCCTAGAGACTTCTGTGGTATTTTTAACAAATATTCCCCTAGCGTAAAATCACAATGTTTTTTCTTTGTTTGTTTGTTTGTTTGTTTTTTAATCTTAAAGTATTATTGCTTTAACTTTCATATTTAGAGGCATTCAATTGCAATGAATCTGCCACTGATTTTTGTGTGGTAGAGCTTGAGATTAATTTTGTCTTCCAATGGGTATGCAGTGACCTAGTCCCATTTATCAAAAAGTCTTTCCTTTCTCCTACTGATGTCACCTCTATCATGAACCAAGTGACGATATACAGTATATGTGGGCTGCTTTCCATTGGTCTGACTCTCCCTGTGCCAAAACCATACTTTCTCAATTACTACAGCTTTGTAGTTAAATTCTATGCCTTACAGTCTTTTTTTTTTTTTTTTTTTTTTTTAATGCCCTGACTGGGAATTGACCCGTGACCTTGTGGTTCATAGATGGAGGTTCAGCTACTGAGCCACGCTGATTAGGCTCACAGGTCCTGATATCCTCCAACTTTCTCCTTCAAGACTGCCTCTGCTATTCTTGGTCCTTTGCATTTCTGGATAAATTTTGAATTGCCTTGTCCGCTTCCACACAGAGTTCTGCAGCCATTTTGTGTGGGGTTGCACTGGGTCTACTTTGGCAACAATCAACAGCTTAACAATTCTGAATCTTCCAATTTTGAACGTGGTGTATTCTTCCATTTATTTTGTGCTTTAAAATTTACATTGTGTAGTTTTCAGTGTAGGGACCGCACAGTTTTCATTAGTCAGTCATTATGCTGCACACCTAAAACAAATAGAATGAAATATGTCAAGGATGTCTCAATTTTTAAAAGTGTATTACTTAATTTCCAAGCAGCTTAGCTCCACAGAGGTCATAGAAAATGTTCAAAATTCTTTGGATCCTTTGAAATTTGTTCAAGTTTGCTTTGTTGCCCAGCAAATAATGAGTCTTGGTAAATTTCTTACACCTTTGGTTCCTCTGTTGTTATTGATTATACGTCCTGCCTCCAGGCGAGGGAGAAGGCGTGCTCAAATCTAAGGTCCAGCCTAGGAAGAGAGGTACATCACTGCTTACATTCTGTTGACAAGAACATAATGTCCACATGGCCAGGCCTGATGCAAAGGGATGGTAAGCTGAATTTTTACAAAGTCCTCCCTCTTTAAGATTTCAAGAGCCACAGGGTGTCCCACACAATCTTCCCGCTAAGCAACTCCAGCTGAGAGGTGGGGGGTCTCTCTCCAGAGCTCTGGAAGAAAAATTCCAAAGAAAATCAGATTGGCCAGATTTGAATCACTTTTCTATGTTAAACCAGTCACCATGGCCAAAGAGAGGCAGCAGTGCTGTTGGGCTAGCCTGGTTCCCGCAGACCCATGGAGGGGTGAGCCTTATCCCTGCTGCATGGAGGGCCCAGCTGGGAGGTGTGAGCATTTTGGAGCCAGCCCCATAGCAAGCTTCCCACAGGTGGTGAGTGCCTTCAGGAGGTGGCATGGGGCAAGGATTACACCAAACAGACATGTTCCCACCCCGGGGGACACAGGCAGAAACGGGAGAGAGAAGGCGCCTTTACAATACTCACGGGAGCTCACAATGAGGTTGCGATGACGCGGAGTGCTCTTTATGTAGTAAATAAGAGTGAAAGTTGTGAGGCGCGTGGCTGATGTAGTAATGTATGAGAGAGGTTGGAAGTTTCTTTGTCCCTCAAATGCACCAAAAATGGAAGGGACTTTGAAAACTTATTCACCCACTCAGAAGAGAAATCTAGGTCCGGAGAAGGGGAAGCAAGGAGCCAGTGCCTGTCAGTGTGGGAGGGGGGCGGGGAGAAAGGGGGAGAGGGGGGGCAGCGGTCCAGGCTCCTGGGCCTGTGTAGGATCCAGTCCTCCAGAGAGACCTAAAGTCCCCCCGCTGAGTGACACCCGGGGGTCTCAGCAGGTGAAAGAAGCCTCGACCCCACAGCCACCAAACACTCTGGGTTCTGTGTGTCCTAAAGCAGGAGGAGAAAGGACACACATCTTGGACACAGCTTAAAGAGAACAGAGGCCCCAACCATCCTCAGAATGAAAAGGGAACCCACTGTGCGGGAAAACATATTCACCAGTGATACATCTGATTGAGGTTAATTTCCAAAATATATAAAGAACTCATACAACTCAACAAAAGGAACACAAACACTCCAATTAAAAAGTGGGCAAAGTACCTGAATAGACACTTCTCCAAAGTGAGCAAGAGAGATATGAAAAAATGCTCCAAATCACTGATCATCAGAGAGATGCAAATAAAAACAATAATTAGGTATCACCTCACACCTGCCAGAGTGGCTATCATCAAATCAATAAACAGGTGGGGGAAATGTGCACTGTTGATGGGAATGCAGACTGGCGCAGCCACTATGGAAAACAGTAGGGAGTTTTCTCAAAAAATTAAAATGGGAACTGCCTTTAACCCAGAGATCTCACTTCTGGGAATCCCAAAACACCAATTCAAAAGAATGCACCCCTATGTTCATAGCCGTGTTACTTACAATAGCTAAGGTCTGGAAACAGTCCAGGTGCTCATCAGCAGATGATTGGATAACAAAGCTGTGGTACATTTACACAGTGAAATACTATGCAGTAAAAAAGAAGGATCTCTTATCCTTTGAGACATCATGGATGGACCTGGAGATTATTATGCTAAGCAATATATATGTTTTTCATCATAAGCCAGTCAGAGAAAGACAAGTATCACATGATCTCACTGTATGTGGAATGTAATGAACAAAATAAATTGAGGAACAAAAATAGGTCCGAAGACATGGATGCATGGAACAGACGGACAAATTTTAGGAGGAAGGGGGACGGGAAGAGAGTAACCAAAGCATTTAGATGCATACAGGATGTCCCCCACAAATGTACTCACACTTTAAGAACCGATAGCTCCATTTTGAAAATGAAATGCATTTTATTGTAATAAACACGGCCTTTATAACTATTCAAAGTGTGTGTCTACATGGTTTGGGACACCCTTTGCTTGCATAACCCATGGACACAGACAATAGTACTGTGAAGGCTTGGGCTGGAGGGGCGGGGAGGGTAAAGAGGGGAAATGGGGAACATCTGTAATACTGTCAAAAATAAAAATAACTTTAAAAATATATATATAATAGCAGTGGAGAATTCCTCTTCTGCAAGCACAGTCCCCAGCTGTAACCCAGAGCGGCGGAGGACGCGGCCCTGCCCCGGGGTCCTTTCCAGCTCCTCCCCACGCCCCTGCAGGCCCTGCGCGGTCACACAGCGCCCGGCCCCTCCCGCCGCCCAGCCGGATCCCGGGCGAGGGCGGGGCCCCGCGGGGCGGGACCCCAGATACGCGAGGGGCGGGGCGGGGCTCTGGTGGTGGGGACCCCGGGGCGGAGCACGGCCGGGGTGTGGGGGCCGCAGTGTGGGGGCCTGTGCGCCGGCCCCGGGCCTGTTCGCCGAGCGGGAACGCGGGAACTGGGCCTGTGCGCCCGGCCGGGGAGCGGGGACGCGCGGGGCCGGGGCGAGGCGGGGCCGGAGCTGAGTCTCCGCGCCGGGAGGGCGGGGTGGGGCCGCGGCGCCGGGGCCTGCGCGGGGCGGGGACCGGGTTCCTGACGCGGACGCGGGGCGGGGACGCGGGGCGCGGACGCGGGGCCGGGCCTGGGCTCTGTGCGGCGGGTCCACGCGGAGCCGCCGGTCCCCGCGCCCCGCGCCCCGCGCCGGCGGCCTCGCCATGTTCACCTTCGTGGTTCGCGACGAGAATAGCAGCGTCTACGCCGAGGTGTCCCGGCTGCTGGTCGCCTCCGGCCACTGGAAGAGGCTGCGGCGGGACAACCCCAGGTTCAACCTGATGCTGGGCGAGCGGAACCGGCTGCCCTTCGGGAGACTGGGTGAGCGCCCCGCCCCGCCCGCTGGAGCCCGGCTTTGTGTTGAGGCCACAGAGCTGCTCCCCTGCTCACCCCGCTGAGCAGGCGCGGACCCTGCAGGTCTGGACCATCCTTCTTACTGTCCGTCTTCCGGATGGGTTTGGACCCGGGTCACCGCGCGGCCCCCCGCAGTCAGTCTTGCACCTCCCTTGGGCCGACGTCCCCATCGTCAGGTGGGACCCCCACCCATCTCCCGCCAGACGACCCCCATCCCGCATCCGCGCGCCCCCTCTGTGCATCCCACGCCAGGCGCCCCATCTGCAGGTCTGGGCTGAGCGCGGGGCTGGGAACGCTCCGCCTGTGCGGGGCGGGAGGGGCACAGCGTGGTGCAAACCCCGAGGACCCCTCTGCTCCCCGGGGCTCAGATGACCGCCAGGCGCCGGGGAAAGACCCGAACTCCAAAAGCTGGAGCTTCTGACGGGAGCCCAGGGGAGGCCGGGGACATGTGATTCCAGCCCGTCCCTTAGCTTCCCCGAAGAGCGCGTGTTCCAGCGTGGGGCACAGCGGCGTTGCACGCACATTTTTCACGGCGCCGGGCTCTCCCCCTGCCCTGCCTCATCCACGCGGTGGCAGCCGGTTTGGCACCACCGGGTGCGCTTTGCGGGCCGTGGAGGGGGCGGGGCGGGGACCACCCCCTCCTCTTCAGATGACGTCAGCCAGAAGTTGTGCAGGGACTTAAGCGCACATCCCACTGACCTGCGCGCAGCTCACGGCCTCTCCTTTATGCACAGTCACCAGCCTCTGCCCTGGTGGCCATGTTCCCTGCCAAAATCCCCTGCGCCGGGGGCCAAATCATAGGCCAGAGTCCCACGCAGAGATTCGAGAATGAAGAAAAGCCATCTCTGCTTTGGAGGGCAGCCAGGCAGAGCAGTGTCCTGTGTTCAGGAGAGGAAACAGTGTCTAGAAATAGGTGTGGTTAGGGTGGGGAGGGTGCAGGGACACAGACTGGAACAGGCCTTCAGGACCCAGCTGGCTGCTGGAGCTCCCAGCCTTTGCATGGGACCGTCTGCGGTCCGGGAATGAAGGGTGTGGCCATACCGCCTTTACTTACGATTCTTTCTTTGGAATGGACCGTGAAGCACTTCCCCCACCTTTTAATGATTATACAAGTTTTTGACGCAGGCTAGGGTTGGTTCTGACCCCCAGACATCCTGGAATATGGGCAGTTTGCCTGGAGACCCATCACCTTCAGCTAACTGTCTCCCCCAGAAGCCCCTGCACAGGGAAACCTTCCCTCAAAGGGGAAGGAACTCTGCTTACTGTCGGGAATGCTTATTTCCTCCTTGCTCTGTCCACTTCCCCGCCTGCCCGGCTTCCTTCCTGTCTGTCCAAGCTTAGCTGGGATCCTAGTGTTAAAAACACGCCTGGCTCTGCCGGGGCCGAAGCAGGTGGATGGCACTGCCGTGGTGCTCGGGTCTAGGAAGAAGGAGCAGAAACCACCCAGCAGGTCCACCGAGTCGGCAAGTGAGCAGGAGACGTCTGGTGTTGGTGGAAAAGAAAGCAAGTAGCATCCCACAATCAATGTGGTTTCATGCCTTCACTGTAGGCTATTTTCCTTAAAGTGCAACACACAACCCCCGAGGGGAAATCGGCTCAAGATGCCTGGGCCAAGCGGGGAGAGGGCAGGCAGCCCAGGTGTGAACCAGGGAGCTGGTGACGGCCAGGCAGTGCCAGAAACTGTAGTCAGTTGTCTACTGTTCTCAGAGCAACCATTTATACCTCTGGCAGCGTCAACTCAAACTCCCTTCCTTTGGTTTTACTTTTGCTTTTTGGTGCTGGAAATCCAGTGCATTTGGTTAGGATTTTAAACTACATCCAGGCTTTTGTTTTTGTTTGTATCCTTTCTGCTCTAATTTGATGGAGGAGGGGACTTGCCCTAAGACCTAGTGAAAATGTGTTTCCCTGCGGGGTGATGCACAGAGGAAAGTCCTGAGGCTTTAGCGTTTGTGGCCTTCCCTCTGCCTCCCCTTGCCTTCGATGGCTTTCCTGGGAGCCCATAGAGGCAGATGCGCCGGGGAGCAGGAGCATCCATTCTGCTGCCTCCCCTGAGGGCTGTAGGGAAAAGGCTGGGAGGCCAGGAGTGTGACTCCGCCGATGTCCTAACTCTACAGAGACAACTTATCAGTCAGTGTGTTCAGCCGGGGAGGGGATCCGGGAGAGGTGATACAGAAGGACAAACAGGCAGCAGTGGACTCCAGCAGCTCTGGGATGTGGATATTATAATCTCCCCCATGGGGAGGCTGAGTGACCCAGTGGGATGCGGAGGCAGGGGCCGTGGGGTGCAGGCAGCAGAATCATTCCTGTCCCACCCAGTCCTGGAAGGCAGAAAGCACTGGTGTGACACAGCTGTTCCCTCTCCTGAGCCAGGCCTGGCCCCTCTGAACCTCCCTCTCCTCCACAGGTCACGAGCCTGGGCTGGTGCAGCTGGTGAACTACTACAGGGGGGCGGACAAACTGTGTCGCAAAGCTTCTCTAGTGAAGTAAGTGCTCCTTAAAACCTTGATTTTTTTTTATTTATTTATTTATTTTTTTACATAAATGGTGTTCGCTTTCATCATGAAGCACTTAAGAAAGAAATGCGGGGGTTATTTTTAAAGAGCAAAATGCTTTTTATTTAAAAAGCCAATACATATCTGTTCTGGTGCTTCCTCTAAGCTGCTTGGATTGCAACCCAGAAGGCTGTCATCCAGCACTTGATGGAGCCTGTCTGTCTGTCTGTCTCTGAGTGAGGCTCCCAAAAGCAGAGCCTGGGATGCGTATATTGTGTAAGTGATGGACTGGGGATGTATTTTGTACTCCAGCATCAGTCAGCCATTGGTATGGGGAGAAGTGGGGCATTTCTGGGCACAGCTGGTCCCTGGAGAAGGGGCACGCACAAGACCTTGGCAGCGGCTCACGCAGCTAGGGTCCCCTTAGAAAGGACACCTGGAACCGCATCTGCTGCACTACCCCTCTCCTCGAGCTTGGGTGACGGCAGGTATCCTAAGAACAGTGGCCTGAGGTAGAGGAAGCGATATTATCCACTGACCTTGTGACCTCAGCTTTCCCTTGGATTAGTTAAGGCAAATTTCCTCCTCCCTCTGAGTCCCACTATGTCCCTTGTAGGTGGTTGTGAGGAGGGATAAAGGTGATGCGTGTAAAGTGTGGGGCACAGGGTTTATAGGGAGCATGTGACTCTATGCCTCAGTTGCCTTCCCTGTAAATTAGGGACAATAATAGGAATTGCCTCAGGGTGGTTGTCAGGACTGAGTTAATTTATGTGAAAGCTTTGAATAATGCTGCCTCAGAGGTCACTCTGCATAAGTGAAAGGTTATTGTTATCGCTGCTGTTGTGGTCATCACTGCGGTTGTTGCCATTTCTATAGGGAAGGCGGGTATGGCCCCTCACATCAGGGCTGCTGTGGCAGGTCTCCACTGTCCTTCCCCTGACGCCGAGTGAACCTGTGTGCGCAGCCAAACAAGTCGCTCAGGTGGATGACACTGCACCTGCTCTTTCCCCACTCATTCTTTCTAGACTCTAGACATTTAAAGGTGCAGTCTTCATAGGGATATGCCCCTCTTTTTGTTCAGACTCAATGGCCCCAGTGACTTAGTATCCACTTCTCTCAGTGAAGAGACATGCTTTCTGAAGTCTTCTTTATAAATATATATATATAGTTTACCAAGTAATAGATAAACATGCTAATTGACCGTACCTTCACGACGCCCACAGCCAATCAGGAGTGAGTAACCAACAAAGATGGAGGTTAATTTGCCTACACAGCCACCAAGTGTCAGGCCTGTCCCAGCCGCTCTGGGCCTCTGAGTAGCGTAGGAAGGTAGAAAGGCAGCTCTGGACCAGAGCGAAAGCAGTGCCAGCAGCCAGGGAAAGGAAGGCCCATTCTGGCACAAATATTGTGCATCAGGCTTCTAGAATATATATAATTATTGTTTCAGAGAAGAAGAGAGAGAGAGAAAGAGAGAGAAAGCCGAAACCAGTTTGGTTCAGTGGATAGAGTGTCGGTCTGTGGACTGAAAGGTCCCTGGTTCGATTCCGGTCAAGGGCATGTACATTGGTTGCAGGCACATCCCCAGTCGGGGGTGTGCAGGAGGCAGCTGGTCGATGATTCTCTCTCATCGACGTTTCTGACTCTCCCTCTCCCTTCCTCTCTGTAAAAAATCAATAAAATATATTTAAAAGAGAGAGAGAGAGAAACATCAGTGATGAGAATCATTGATAGGCTGCCTCCTGCATGCCCTCTACTTGGAATCGAGCCTGCAATCCAGGCATTTCCACTTCATCAGAATCGAACCCAGGACCCTTCAATCCACAGGCCGAAGCTCTATCCACTGAACCAAACTGGCTAAGGCTGAAGTCTGATTACACATTTATTACATGTTAGATGCAAAAGATTCTTTAATTATAAGTGAGACATGATTGTCCACATTATTCATTTAGAACTTGATATAAAATGTTTATTTAATATTTTTTCTACCATAATTTTTTTTTTATAAAGATAAAGGTAGAGCCGAAACTGGTTTGGCTCAGTGGTGGAGCGTCGGTCTGCGGACTGAAGGGTCCCAGGTTCGATTCTGGTCAAGGGCATGTACATTGGTTGCGGGCACATCCCCAGTCGGGGGTGTGCAGGAGGCAGCTGGTCGATGTTTCTCTCTCATCGATGTTTCTGGCTCTCTATCCCTTCTCCCTTCCTCTCTATAAAAAATCAATAAAGTATATTTAAAAAAAAGATAAAGGTAGAATTTTGCTTTTAGGAGTGAGAACAGAGGATGCTATAGGAAACTATTCTGAGTATTTGCATGTTCAGCAGCTACTATACTGAGGTGGAGTGTGTAGTACAGGACACATGACCAGGTCTGAGTAGGTGTCTTGGACAGCGCCAGGCTGACTCCCAGAGGCCATTTGTAAAATGGGGCTGATGGTGATCACACCTGCTCTTTGCTCCTCGGTGGCATGCAACACAGTCTATGACATCTTGACTTATGCAGATTGGGGTTGTCCTCATCTTCACACGTGCCCTTTATTCTCTCGGATATCCTGAGAGGGAGGGTAGTCATTCCGGGAGATGATGGTACCCTTTATCATTTTATCTTTCCCATAATTTTGCATGGCTCAAAAGGGCTCGGAGAGGTAAAAAAAAAAAAAAAAAAAAAAAAAAAATCTTAGATGGCAGCTCATGGAGGACAGCAGGGCCGTCGCAGCTGAGCCAGGATGATGCCAGCCTGTACCCAGAGGACCAGGGACAGTGCCACTGGGCAGCCCCCAGAGGGTTTCTACTAGGATCCTACCCTGGCCCTGGACTGCAGGCATCTTCCAGCATCACAGGGAGTGTCAGATTCATGGCGGCCCAAGGCCACAGACTCGGAGCCCTGAAAGGGCTTTTCTTCCAGCTCAGGTTACGGACTCTCTTTTCCTCTTGTGAGCGTTTCTCCCCTGGAGTTGTAAATGAGCCTCCAGGCATGATTTCTTTCCAAACGGGACAAATGCAAAGAATTTCAAACAGAAACTGGTCTTGGTTTTGTGCAGGAAATGAAGGTGATCCTGAGGGCTGGCACTGGCCAACAGGAATGGAATGCTAGCTACTGTGACTAAATTTCCTAGTAGCCACACTAGCACAAAGAAGCAGGTGCTATTTGTGTTAATAATATATTTTATTTTATTTAATCAAATAATCCAAAATTTCATTCTGACATGTAATTAATATTTAAAAATGAGCGATGTATTCAGGTTTTGTTTTTATATGGAGTCTTCAGAATCTAGTGTGTATTTTACATTTCCAGCACATCTTAATTCAGGCACTAAATTTTTACTGTTCTGTATTAAGATTTCATAAAAATTTATGGTTAAAAAAGGTTTATATGCCCAATTTGCTCCCACCTATGTAAAAAATTTTCAATAACTGAATCAGATACCAAGTAAACGTTTTTCTTTAATAATCACATGCACAATGACAAAACAGGATGATTTTATTAGAAGAATTAACTTGGGTTTAAAGCAAAGGTATAACATTTTCAAAACTATGTCCAAGTTAAATAAATTCACCAACTCTTGTGTTAACTCAGTAGTATACTATCAAATTGAAAAGAGTATTGAATAAATTGAAAAGAACTCTAAATTTATTAACTTCAACCAAGTGTTCTTCAAAATTTCCCTTAGTTTTTGCAGCTACTTTGCTGTCTGTTACAGTTAAAAATATTCTGCATATTAAGGCATGTTATAAAAATATGTAAAACCATTATTTTTGATTTGTATTTTAAAGTCCCAGCATAAATTTTCATACCAATTTGGCTGGGTCATAAATAAAGTTTTCTTTTCTCTTCTTCTGAACTTTAAAATTAGCTTGTTTGTAACAGTGTGAAAATCACACTGCCATTTTTTAACCTTTGGTTATTGGGTGAAATAATGAATTATTGAAAATAATGGTTTAGCCCTAGCTGGTTTGGCTCAGTGAATAGAGCATTGGCCTGCAGACTGAAGGGTCCCAGGTTCAATACCAGTCAAGGGCACATGCATGGGTTGCAGTCTTGATCCCCAGTAGAAGGCATGTAGGAGGCAACCAATCAATGATTCTCTCTCATCACTGATGTTTTTCTCTTGCTCCCTCTCCCCCTTCCTTTCTGAAATCAATAAAAATATATATATTTTTAAATGATTTAGCAAGCATTCCTTTTATTTCAAGAAATTCCTTTTATTTAGTGTTTTAACTGTACACTAAGGCTTTACAAAACTCTCCCCTCTGACCATCCCTGGCAAAGAACACAGCATCATTAAACTCTGCCTTCTGTGTCTTGCAACAGGTCTGTACTGGTGAGTCATGGTAGCATTGGCAAGCACATACTGAACCAGTGTAATAGCTGTACCCATGATACTTCCCATGGAGTGGGCTTCAGAAAACAGTGTAGATGTTTCCAACATGCATCAGACAGTAGAATGCAATAATAAAGGAAATATCAGTCTTAAAATCCCAGTAAATCCGAATTTTAACTCAACCCTACAGACACTGATTTTTCGATTGTAGGTGGAACTCATCTTTGACAGATGTAAATGATTAAAAATGAGCCACACGGCGAGCTTGATATTTTTAGGCTTCAATTTGACAATTTTTTCCCATATATTTATAAATCCTTTGAGGAGACAGACCCAATGTATTAAATGGGCAGCTTCTATGTCACACAGCTTATTTAAAGCTAAAAACAATTTTTTAAAAAATTTTCAAGTTTTGAATCAATCCTTATTGTTAAAAATGTTTTATACTCTGGGCAATTACTTTACTGGCTTGACTAAAGATTGTTCATTATCTGTAAAATATGTTTTTTAGTCTTATTTCCTCAGAATGATTTCTGTTACCACATTTTTATCTGAAGTGCTTTCTTTTTTGTGTAGAATCCAAGTCATTTTATAGCTGACTGAAATTACAAACACAGATTCTGTTACACATTTGTTTACATTATTTTGTTGAATATTTCATTTGAATTTCAGCCACTAATTTCATTGATTCTTTTTTGACTGTTGAGGGGAAGATCAACTTCATTATCTATTTGCTACACATGTCTCATGTACACTCTGCCACAACAAATTGCAGTCGTTTGTCATTCGTTGTAAAATTGTGTCATACCTCCCAGCCTACTGTTCTGGTTGTAGTTCTAGCTTCTGTGTCCCTGTTCAGTTGCATCTGTAGTTTAACTTTTAAAGTTGCCCACATTTATTTTTTTAACTAGACAAATGTTACATTTTACTTTAGTTACCAATTATGATTTATCTAGCTATCACTGTAACACATGCTGTCTGTATAATAAACACATCACAATGTCTCATTATCACATGGGGAAAGCCACGTGGACTGAATCAGCCCATTGTCCCCGAGTGAACAGTGGTGTGTTTGTGGTGATGCAGCAGTGCGCCTGGCAATGAGTGCACTTGTGTGCACGCCGAGATACAGCACCCAGATCCTGCAGTGGTTAAAGTGAAATGCCCTCCTGCCAAAACAATGAAGTTGTTGCTTAATGGACAAATATTTTACAGTGCTTTGGCTTTTAAATTAAAACTAAGCTAAGTTTAAAATTCAGTTCCTCTGAGCCCTTGAAATGTGTCACCCTGGCCACATTTCAGAAGCGACATGTGGCTAGAGGCCACCCTATTGGACAGTGCAGAGAGAGTTGAACATTCAGTGAAGTAGTAATGTATTTGTCCCTTTAAGTTTGAGTAGCTCAAATCATGTTGTCTTTAAAATAACTTTATTTTAAATCTCAATTAAGGGACCGGTTTGGCTCAATGGATAGAGCGTTGGCCTGTGGACTGAAAGGTCCTGGGTTCGATTCCGGTCTATGGCATGTACCTTGGTTGCGGGCACAGAAGCTTAATATTCGCAGTTCGATAGAAGATGAGCCCAGCTTAGGGAAGGCCCATGATTTGTTCTTGGCTGGCTCTGATCCCTGGGGAGGGAGGGCCATGCAGAGTGAGGACTTTGGAGTTAGGGCTGTACTTGCATCGTGCCTGTGTCTTATGTACGACCTGAAGGATACTGGAAAATGTACTCACTTTGGTGGGGCCCAGTGTCTGATCTATGAACTGAGATGCTGGTGCCTCCCTCTCAAGGGACCAGCTGAAGAGTAGATGTGGTGGGAAGCCCTTCGCAAGCCCTGCTGTTTATGAAGTGCCTCGCCCAGAGCCTGGCTTTATCTTCTGTTTGTCATGTTATCTGGGGGCAGGAGGTATGCATAGTTATGACCACTGGCATCCAGTGTCCCAATAGAAAGATTCCTTTTTGTAGTCTGTCTTGAAGCCAGGGAAGTGTTGGCTCAGGATTATTTCAAGTTAAGTTTCCTTGGAGATTATATATATATATATATTAGAAGCCTAGCACACTGGGCAGGGGATGTCCCTCAGCCCAGCCTGCACCCTCTCTCAGTCCGGTACCCCAGGGGATTGGGCCTAAGCTGGCAGTCAGACATCCCTCTCACAGTCCAGGGCTCATGCAGTCCAGGACCCCTCACTCTTTATTGCCCGCCTGCAGAGGAGGCGGAAGAGGCTCCCTCTACAGCCCCTGCTCTCACCAGCTGTAAGCCTGCTTCTGGCAGAGCAGAGCTCCCCCTGTGGGAGCCCACGGACCACTAAGGGGCAGCTTCTGCATTGAGCATCTGCCTCCTGGTGGTCAGTACGCATCATAGCAACCAGTAATTCCACCGGTTCTTCCACTGTTTGGTTGATTTGCATATTAGGGTTTTATTATATAGAATATATATATATTTTAGAGAGGGAGGGAGAAGGGAGAGAGATAGATACATCAATGATGAAAGAGAGAATCATTGATTGGCTGCCTCCTGCACGCCCCCACTGGGGATTGAGCCTGCAACCCCAGCATGTACCCTTGACTGGAATCAGTCCGCAGACCAATGGTCTATCCATTGACCCAAACCCACTAGGGCTAGAGATACATTTTTAAAAGAGCCAAGGTTCTGGACATGGGGACCCTTTTGACCCAGCTGACACATGCCTGTAAGGTTGCATGGATAGCTGTGTGCGATCTGTAGTGCATTACAGATCAGTCCAGGAAAGGAAGAGCAAAGACTGAGATAAGGAGACCAGCCCCTGGCCCTGCTTATATGCTGCCTCCTTGACAAGCTCTGGAGGTAGCACTGGCTTTTCTGAAGAGAGTGACAGACGATTGACCCTCTGTCATCTGCCAGGCTAATCAAGACAAGCCCAGAACTGGCCGAGTCCTGCTCATGGTTCCCCGAGTCCTATGTGATCTACCCCACTAATCTCAAGACCCCAGCTGCTCCCGCGCAGAATGGAATCCACCCGCCGATGCCTAGCTCGAGGACGGACGAAAGGGAATTCTTCCTGACTTCTTATAACAAAAAGAAGGAGGATGGAGAGGGCAATGTTTGGATTGCAAAGTCATCCTCCGGTGCCAAAGGTGAGTTGGCATTGCCGTCCCTTAGGTTCCCAGTGCTGGGTGCAGTCGTACGCTTGACGTTAATGATGTATTTAGATGAGTTACTCTTCTCAGCTGAATCCTGAGGGTAGCTAGCATGTAACAGTTAGTTACATAGTCTTAAATATTAATCTACATGCTGGAGACTTCTGCATGTACATCTCCACACATGCACTCTCCCACTGGGTCTTTTCCGGTAAGCTCCGGATTCAGTTGGACACTCTTGGGCATTTGTCCCAGAGAAAAGAAAGTATGTTCATGTAAAACCTGTGTGTGATTGTTCATAGAAGCTTTATTCATAATAGCCCCAAACTGGAAGCAATTCAGATTCCTTCAAAAGGTGAAAGATTAAGCAAACTTTCGTGAATCAATCCCACAGGATACTACTCAGCAAAAGAAGGGAATGAACTATTGCTAACATCAGCAACTTGGTTGAATTTGCAGGGAATTATGCTGTGTGAAGAAAAAAAAAACAAACCCCACCAATTCGCAAAGGTCACATAGTGTATAATTCTATTTATATAACATTTCTGGAATGACAAAGCTATAGAAATGGAGAACAGATTAGTGCTTGTCTAGAGGGTGCTATGGGGAGGGAGGCAGTTATGGTTTTAAAAGAGAAAATTGAGGGATCCATGCAATAATAAAACTGTTTAGAACAGACAGAGATACTTGCAAATTATGTCTCTTAAGAAGCATCTGCATCCAGAATGTATAAAGAACTCATATAACACAATAATAAAGAGACAACCCAATTAAGAAGTGAGCAAAGAATCTAAATAGAAATTTCTTGAAAGAAGACATACAGATAAGATAGTCTATAAGAACATAAAAACATGCTTGCCATTATTAAGCATTAGGAAAATGCAACTCAAAACCACAATGAGATACCACTTCACACCCACTAAAATGACTATAATTATGAAGACAGATGACAGCAAGTGTTGGTAAGAATGTGAAAAAATTGGAACTCTCATATATGGGGGCAATGTAAAATGGTGCATCCATTTGGGAAAGCAGTTTGGTAGTTTCTAAAAAGTTAAACATAACATTACTATATTATTCCACTCCTAGGTATATTTCCCAGAGAATTGAAAATATATGTCCACACAAAACTTTTATGCAGATTTTTCTAGCAGCATTATTCATCAGAGCCAAACAACAGTAGAAATAATTCAGATGTCTATTGATTGGTGAATGAATGAGCAAAATGTGATATATTCACACAAGGGAATATTATTCTGACACAGAGAGGAATGAGGCACTGCCACATACTACAACATGGATGAACCTTAAAAACATGATGCTCTGCCTGGGTTGTGGGCTCAATCTCCACTGGGGGGCCTGTGGGAGGCAGATGATCAATGGTTCTCTCTCATCATTGATGTTTCAGTCTCTCTTTTCTTCTCCCTTCCTCTCTGAAAACAGTAAAAATATATTTAAAAATAAAACATGATGCTCAATTTAAAAAGCCAGACACAAAAAGGCTACACACTGGATGAGTCCATTTATATGAAGCATCTAGAACAGGCAAATCTATTGTAAATTAGTGTTAGTCAAGGGCTGGGGTGAGGAAGGAATGGAGAAAGACTGCTAACAGATGTAAGGTTTTCAGGAGGTGAGGAGAATGTTCTAAAATAAGGTTGTAATGATAATTACTGGAATATACTAAAAACCATTGACTTGTACCTTATACAAGGGTGGTTTTTATGGCATGTCAATTATGTCAGTGAAGCTGTTAAAAAGGATATTGTATCATTTATTTAATGTTGATGGATACTTTGAATGTAGCCAATTTCTTTCTGTTACCGAACTGCAGGGAATCCACTTGCCCCTGTGTTTCTATGCCCTAACCTTGCTGGTGTTGCCATAAGAGAGGGTGTGGACATGCCACAGGCAGGACATCGTCTTCATCACAGCAGGCAGTGACCCACAGGAGAGTGGCATTTATGGAGGGTGCCTGGACCTTTGCAGTGTCCTTAGAAGTGAAACTTCATTTGCAGCTGGCCAAGACAGTGTTTACAACCCTAAATGGAGGAAAAGTTGAATTATCCTGGTGTTTGGTGGGCGGAGGGAGAGTGTGAGAGATTGGACCAGGGAAGGGTGGAGAAAGAAGAGTGAGTAGCCGACCAGAGCTCCTGTCTGTGTTTTACTGCTGTCAGTGTTTCCTCCCTGGCTTTGCAGGGAGCGGTTCCTCTTGGGATGGACTGCACTAATGTTTGTTTTAACTTTACGGGTTAGGTGAAGGCATCCTCATCTCCTCGGATGCTGCAGAACTTCTGGATTTCATAGACAACCAGGGCCAGGTGCACGTGATCCAGAAATACCTCGAGCGCCCTCTGCTGCTGGAGCCTGGGCATCGCAAGTTCGACATTAGGTAAGGCAGTGATGTGTGAGGAGGAGGGTGAGGTACAATGTGAGGAACTGTTTGTTTAATACGTTACTAACACTGAGCACAGCTGAATGAAACTGAGCTTCTGTATCTAATTCTCTATTTTTCCTTCAATAATTTCCTTTCTAAAATTATAGGGCTTTTTTTGTTTGTTTGTTCATTTACTATTATATTTTCTTTAATGAAAATGATTTGTGGATCCAAAGGGAAGGGCATAAACATCTGGACCTTGCACCTGGTGTGGCTCAGTTGGTCCTCCCTTACACTGAAAGGTGGAGGGTTCAATTCCTGGTCAGGGTACATGCCTAGATTGCAGGTTCCATCCCTGGCTGGGGGACATACAAGAGACAACCAGTTGATGTTTCCCCTCTCACATTGATGTTTCTCTTTCTCTCTCTCTCTCTAAAATCAATAAACATATTCCCAGGTGAGGATTAAAAAATATCAATAATACAGCCCTAGCCGGTTTTGCTCAGTGGTTAGAGCGTTGGCCTGCGGACTGAAGGTCCAGGTTCGATTCTGGTCAGGGGCATCTATCATGGTTGTAGGCACATCCCCAGTGTGTGTGTGGGGGGGGGGGGGGGCGCGCACGCGCAAAGGTGCATGGTGTAGGAGGCAGCTGATCAATGTTTTTCTCTCTATTCCTCTCCCTTGCTCTTTGTAAGAAATCAATAAAATATATTTCAAAATATAAAAAAATAAAAAATAATTCATACATACATACATAAATTGCCTTACAATGGGAGAGATATACACGGGTTTGTAATTAAGACCCAAAAGATCATGTGACCTTGACAAATAATATTTCCTGACTTTATGTCCTACCTTTTGAAGATTTCATGAACACATCTCAGGTTTGTGGACTTTATTCTCTGAGCTGAGGCACTCTCTAAAGCGGCATGACCCTCAGCCCTGCCTGCTTTTGGCCTTGCTGTTGGCTCTTCAGAAAGGACTTGGTCTCAGCTGCCTTTATGTCAGGTCAGATTTAGGATGGACATTCTTCCTCTTAAAATTATTTAAAATTACCAAACATGGCAAATGGAAGTTTCACCGATCAACCTTTAAAGCAAACCAATCCAATCTCTTCAAAATGCTGGCTCTTGAATGGACCGGAGTTCCCCTTGTCATTGGTGGTGACATGTCTGGTTTGATCATTACAGTGCTAGTCCACTGTCTCAGCCACTTGTTGTGGCCTGCCTTGAATGATTTAGAGCCTACCTCTGCCTCTACTTCCCGCCAAGAAAACCAAGGAGTGGGCGTGATATAGATACCTGATGTGAAGGAACTTGGGGGGACTTGAGTAACTGTTTGTGTTGACTTGCAGAAGCTGGGTCTTGGTGGATCACCAATATAATATCTACCTCTATCGGGAGGGCGTGCTGCGGACTGCATCAGAACCGTATCATGTTGATAATTTTCAAGACAAAACCTGCCACTTGACCAATCACTGCATTCAAAAGGAATATTCAAAGAACTATGGGAAGTATGAAGAAGGGAATGAAATGTTCTTTGAGGAGTTCAATCAGTACCTGACCAGTGCTTTGAACATTACCCTGGAGAATGCTATCTTAGTCCAAATCAAACATATTATAAGGTAACCTAACTGTATCTTTTTAGTTATATGTGTCTTGGAGAAGCTTTGGGAGTGTGTGTCTTTCAAGGGATTATTTCATTTAAGTTGTCTAATTTAAAGACAAAATTCTTTTGTAATACTTCTTTATTATCCTTTTTAATATTTGTAGGATCTCCAATGATGTCACTGCTTTCATTCCTTATAGTGGTAGTTTATATCTTCTCTATTCCTTGGATGATTGGATTGGCTAAAGGCTTATCAGTTTTATTAATTTTCTAAAAAGTTAGTGTTTTTGGTTTTGTTTTCTTTGATTTATGCTGTTTATTATTTCCTTCTGCGTTTGTTTAATTTTTTTTTTCTTTGTGAAAGGTTAGATCATTTATTTGAGAGACTTCATTTTTTTCTTTGTGAAAAGTTAGATAATTTATTTGAGAGACTTCATTTTTTTAAAATATAATAATTTGCCCTAACTGGTTTGGCTCAGCGGATGGAGTGTCGACCCACAGACAGAAGGGTTCCAGGTTCGATTCTGGTCAAAGGCACATGCCAGTGTGGCATGCTTAATCCCCAGTAATGGGCATGCAGGAGGAAGCCAATCAATGATTCTCATTATTGATCTTTCTATCTCTTTCTCTTCCTCTCTGAAATCAATGAAGATATGTTTTTTTTAAATAATAAAAATTAAAATATAAGCATTTAATGCTATCAGTTTCCCTTTAAGTACTCATTGGCCATACCTCCAGATTTTGCTATGTTGTGTGTGGGGTTTTTTTCATTTTATTAAAATAATTCATAGTTTCTCTTGTGACTTTATATTTGACTCATGTGTTATTAGAAACTTTTGCTTAATTTCCAAATAGTAGGGGATTTTTCCAGATATCTTTCTGTTACTGATTTTTCTACTATAATTTCATTGTAGTCAGAGAATATAGTTTGTATGGTTTTGTGTCTTTAAAATGTGTTAGTTTCATGTCCTAGAATATGATCCATCTTTGTGAATGTTCCCTGTGCTCTAAGCATAACATTTACTTGCTCTGCTTAGGCTGTGTTCTATAAATGCGACTTTGGTGAAGGTGGTTGATAGTGAGGTTCATGTCTTTTATGTCCTTGCTGTTTTCCTGTTCCACTATTTATTATTGAGAGAGAAAAAAAATAAAAGTCTCCAAGTGTTTGGATTTTTCTATGTCTCTTTTTAGTTTTAGCAGTTTTTGTTTTATATAGTTTGAAGATCTATTGTGAGGTGCATATATGTTAGAATTGTTGTCTCTTTAGGGAAAATTGACTACTTTATTATTGTATAATATCTGTCATTATCTCTTTAATATTTCATTTCTTAAAGTTGATTTTTTATTAATATAATCACTCCAGCTTTCTTTTGATTAGTTGTATCTTTTTTCCATTCTTTTACTTCTATTCTATTCTATTCTATGCTATTTTATTCTATAGGATTCTGGTAGACAATGTAGAGTTGAGTTTTTTGTTTTATTTTGTTTTGTTTTGAATATAATATAATAATCTCTGTCTTTTAATTGGTATGTTTATACCATTTAAGTTTAATGTAATTATTGGTTTGGTTAGATTTATATCTACCATGTTATTATTTGGTCAATATATTTCCTCTTTCTTTGTTTTTATTTGCTTTCTTGTCTCCATTTCCTGACCTCTTTAGAATTATTTGAATATTTTCAGAGTTTTGTTTTAATTTTTCTATTGAATATTTGGCTTTATTTATCTGCCTATATTTTAGTGGTAAGTCTAGGGATTACAAGAATATACGTATCTCATATTTCAGTCTTCTTAGAGTTAATTCACCACTTCACATAAAATGCAGACATAACATTATAGATCATTTGACTCTCCATCTCTATGTTACAGTTGCCATGTGTATTACATCCACATACATTGAAATCTCTACCACATAATGTTATAATTTGACTCTCCATCTCTATGTTACAGTTACCATGTGTATTACATCCACATACATTGAAATCTCTACCACATAATATTATAATTTTTGGTATCAACCATTAATTACATTTTGTTATGTAGATAGTCAAGTTTGGTTTTAAAAAATATAAGGCCAAACTGGATGCTGTCTATAAGAAACACACTTAAATATAAAATAGGAAAAAACATTTTTATTCACCCATATATTTGCCTTTTTTTTCCTCTTCCTTTAGTCCCGAGGTTCCAGATTTCTCTCTAGTATCATTTCCCTTCAGACTTTGTCATTTCTTTTAGAGCCGTTCTGCTGGTGATAAGTCCTCTTAATGTTCCATCATCTGAAAAAGTCTTTATTTCTCTTATTCCTGAAGGGTATTTTCACTGGAATTACACAAACATGACGTCAATCACAAAAATAAAAAAATAAAAGCTGTATACAAGACATATACAGATTGATTCTATTCATATAAACTGAAAAACAAGCAAAGTTTAGTAAATATATTATTTAGAGGATGGTACATATGTGATAAAAATAAAGAGAGAAGCAACAAATTCAAAAAAGTGATTTTCTCTGGAGAAAAAGCAGGAGGGACCAAGGAGGAGGCCTAATAATGTGGATGTGGGTACATGGATGGTCAGTAATGCTCCATGTATTTCAGACTCGTTTTTATTAGTATATTTATTTTGTCTTTATTTTTTAAGGACATTTGCTCTGGAAACAGATTTCTAGGTCAGCAGTTAATATTTTTTTATCACTCTGAAGGTGACACCATTATCTTTTGGCTTCCATTTTTTTCTTCTTCTCAGATGTCAACTGAAATATTAATATTGCTTTTAATGACTTTTTTCTCTGTTTTTAAGATTAATTTTTTAAATATATTTTACTATGAGATGGGTATAGTTTTCTTTGTACACATTTGTTTGTACACATTCATAGTGCTTCTTGAATCTTGGAATATTCATGGTCATTATTTTTCAATTATAGCTTTTGTCCCAGGAAAGCCTGCATAGTTTCCCTTCTAACTGCACAGTTGAGTATAAGGACAGCTATCTGTGGTCATCTTAGAGTTATCATATGTATTTTATTACTAAGTCTGGAGTCCATCTCAGCACCAGGAGTAAGTATTACTTTACCTCCTGCTCTATGGAAATCAAAGCTTAGCTCCACGAGGTTAAAACATGGACCAAAACTCTGGCCTCGACAGCCTGACCTCTGACCTCACTTACTTACTATGTTTCTGAGATTCGCTTTCAACTTTTATATATTTTTTCAAATTTTTATGTTTTATAGTGCATGTTCTGTTTTTCCAATTTTTCTGTTTTTCCAATTTTTTGAAACAATAGTTGATGCTAATAATTATTCTGTTTCCGCATTTAGTTTCAATATATGAAGCTCTTCAATCTTTTAATTAGTAACAATTTGGCCACAGAACTAGAACAAGCAAAAGAAACGAATGAGGCCATTAGTTTTTGTGCCAATTCTTCCCCTCACTGGTTGACCATTGGCCCACATCTTTTCTCTGGAAAACATGCATGAAAGTGTTTGACTTACTATAAACAAAACGGCAGCAGCCGTCCTGAGGGAGGAAACCCTCCCCTTCCCCTTTCCAGGGGCCAAGGCGACAGCTCAGAGCTGGGAAAGCCGCCTGTTTTTGTGAAGACATGCATGGTTACAGGTCTGCTAACAAGCTGCCTGATGCGTAGCATTGTCTTGAAGAATCTGTCGGTAACAACTGGAAAAGGAGAGGACGAAGTCAAAGCCAACGTTTGGCAGCACATTTCACGGGCAGTCCTCTGGCCCATCTCCGCCCTCCCCAACTCTCAGCGAGCTGTCCCTCTGCCCGCAGGAGCTGCCTCCTGAGCGTGGAGCCCGCCATCAGCACCCGGCACCTCCCTTACCAGAGCTTCCAGCTGTTTGGCTTCGACTTCATGGTGGACGAGGAGCTGAAGGTCTGGCTCATCGAGGTCAACGGCGCCCCCGCTTGTGCTCAGTAAGCCTCACACCGCTGGGCTGGGACAGGAGGAAGCTGGGACGGCCTGTCTCAGCAAGGTCTCCTTGGCTGCTGTCAGGGAGGAGGTGGCAGGACAGGAGTCCCCGGGGACCCTGCTGGCAGGGACTTGGCGGAGGCCTTGCCTCTCCTGTTTCCCGGGTGTGTGTGTGTGTGTGTGTGTGTGTGTGTGTGTGTGTGTGTGTGGAGCCCTTAGGCTGCTCAGGCAGGTGGTGGCTGCAGGAAGAGTGGCAGACACACCTAGAGACTGCGGGGGAGGATGAGGGAGCAGGGTCCTGGAGCGGAGACAGTGTCGAAAAGCATCGGCGATGCAATGGAGCTGCAGCTGGACTGAGAGGTGGCGTGTGCCCGGGGAGGCAGGGAGCCTTCAGGAAGGGCCCGCACCAGCCCGGCTCTGGGAGGAGCGAGGGTGGGCGGAACCTGCCCTCCGGGGCAGCGGCAGCTCCTGTGGCTTCGGGGAAAGCGGGTGCTTGGCCCCGGTGTCACGCAGTGAGGAGTGACTGGGGCGCTCGGTGTCTCGCAGTGAGGAGTGACTGGGGCGCTCGGTGTCACGCAGTGAGGAGTGATGGGGGAACACTTGGGGTCACGCAGTGAGGAGTGACGGGGGGCGGGGCACACGGTCTGGACTGCTCTGGGCAACGCCGCACATCTGAGGGACAGGCATTGGACTCGATCCTTAAAGACATCTGTCCTTCTGAGACCCACTGTCGTCTTTTCCTTCATGTGCACATCATGGAGGAGCAGGTCTTCCGAAGGGTCAGCAGGAAAGAGGAGTGTGCTCAGGGTGATCCGCTGCAGGAGAGAGACGGACAGATGCTGCCCGAGTAACTACTGTGGGCCATACTGTCACACGTCTGCAATAGGCAGGCAGTAGGTGCTGTGGTTTAGGTGCGTGGCTTTGAGAGGAGAGGACTTCTGGACTGGGGGTGGCTTACAGGAAGGTGGCCTGGAAGCCACAAGGGCCCCGGGCCACCCTGAGAGGCCAGGAGCAGGGGATGGGCCAAGTCCCAATTTTAGTAACAACCACCGCACCTCACACGCCTCCTGTCACTGTTCCTTATGGGTGGGCGGCTGCGTGGTTTGCAACATAGAACCTCTGGGCAGTGACAAGGAATGGGGTGCGGGGAGAAGGTCCTGTGAGGCCTCTGGTGTCCTAGGCTGGGTGGCCCAGAGCATAACCAGAAGCGAGTTTTCTCTCGGGACCACACACTGCTGGTTCCCCCTGCGTTAGAGCCGGTCCTCAGGGACAGTCTCAGCCTTGTGAGCTGCCCCAGGAAACAGGCAGACACTATAGAGAATAGCAGGGGTGGAGGGCCTTGTCGCTGTTCTGAAGTTTGCCTCCTTAGCTTTTCTGCTTTGCTGCTTCCTCTGCCTGGACTGAGTCCAGAGCCTCGACGTGGCCTCCGGGCCCGATGTGGCCGGGCCAATGCCTTGTCTGCAGCTCCAGCCTGCACGGATCCACCTCCCCAATGCCCTGGCTCTCTCCCTGCTCCTCCTCTCATTGTGCTGCCTCTTCTCCCCCCAGCTCGCTCTCCCTAACCCCTCCCTCCCTCCGAGTCTGTGTCCCTGCCTTTGCCCTCCTGCATCCTCTTTTCTACCCTGTCCCCATTCTCCGACTTCATTCATTCCGCCGGCCTCAGCTCAGTGACACTCATGGGGAGTCTTTCCTAACATCCCCTCAACCACAAGGAGGGGATTTTCTGTGGGAGGCCTGCCCTCCGTGTCCCCAGCACAGACAGCAGGCGGCCCGTACCCTCTGCTGGAATCGCCGTCTCCCCTGCGGTCCGGTCCACGTCAGAGTGGGGTTCTCTGTCACTGCGCCTACGAGGCCTTGCAGACGCCTCCCGCCGTGTCTGTGTGGACGGCGGAGGCCCTTTGTGTAAATGTGGTCAGGGGGTGGGATTGCCAGGGCAGATCCTGGTGAAGAAGACCTTGGCTTCTCGCTTGCATGAACTTCCTCGGTAACACCTTTTTGAACCCGTTTCAGGAAGCTCTACGCGGAACTGTGCCAGGGCATCGTGGACATAGCCATATCCAGCGTCTTCCCGCCCCCCGACGCCGAGCAGCAGCAGAGCCAGCCGGCCGCGTTCATCAGGCTGTGACCCCGAGACGTGGGGGTCCCGCTCCGGGAGGGCCGCCCGGCTCCGCGGGAAGAGGCAGCTCGCGAGGCTGTGATGGAGGAGAGAGTGCGGGAGCCCAGGCGGCCCCGCGGGGCTCCCGGCGGAGCGCTCTGCACTGCTGCCCGGACTCGAAAACTGCAACGAGTGTCCCCGAGGGGAGAGGACGGAAGCACGGGGATTTGGTTGTTTTCTTTCTCGTCCTTGGAAGCCGCGGGTGTCTATGCTAAGGCTGCGTGAAAGCAGCGCCCCCCCCCCTCCCCGGGCCTTCCTCGGACCCGCACGTGCCGTCTCCGTCTGCTGCAGCCCTTGTGCCTTAGCTCCGTGCCCAGCTGCAACCTCTGCCCATGCGGGGGCTGATGCTAGAGCATTTGGGAGGTCGCCGAATGTCTCTGCTCGTGTGTCCCTCCCCCACACACACACACTGTTGTGAGAACCTGGACCGGCATGCACGCAGCCCTCGGTTCCGTGCTGTGCTCTGCCTCGCGGGGCAGGGTGCCGTCCTCATCCCGCTCCTGAAGGCACTGGGTCCGTCGCCGGGCAGTCGGGGTGGATGTGGGCTGGGCACCACTATAGCAAACGCTGCTGCCAGTCTGCTCTCTGCATGTTTTAGAAACCGAGCAGCAAGTTTGCCACAAGCCTGCAAGCATCAAAAAGCATGAGAGAAAAAAGACAATGCCTTGCTTGACTTCACAGTTGGGTGTCCTTGAAATATGATGGATCTGTTATCTTTGTCTGAACTGGAATTCATGCACTTTTGCGAAGTTCCTGGGGGTCCAGAGAGGGCAGAATTCCCCTCCCTCCAGGTGGTCCTGCCCCTGACGCAGGGAGCTCCCACCATCTCCTTCTTTCCTCCCAGCACCTGCTGTGGGAGCGGGAGGGGGTGTTTTTCCCTCGAAGAGGCTCTGCCTCTGGGTGAGGTTCTCAGAGAGTGTCTGTCTGCCTGAATGGGAGCGTCTCCCAGAATGAGAACGATGTGGTGTTAGAACTTCACACGGCGTCCTGCAGGTCCGCAGTTGTGTCCTGTGAGGTGTGGTGTGGTTTTTACTGACTGGACCGGGGAGCGTTCTCCAAGGCTTTTCAGGAAGCCACGCACTCGCAGTGGGAAGAACAAGATGCCACGTGTGATCGCTGAGCCGAGTGAGTGGGACCTTCTTAGAGCGCTGGATCCCAGCAGACCCACGGGCCAGGCCCCTTCTCGGAACGTGGTGTGTGCTTCCTTGGTGTGCGTGTGTCTGTGTGTGGGTGTGTGTCTGTATGTGTGTGCGCACTCCGTTACTCGTCCTCCTTGCACACAAAAAAGCAGGTCTGCAGTCAGGAAGACTTTTTAAAACTATTTTTTATTTCAGAGAGGAAGAGAGAGGGGGGAAAAAAAAAACCATCAATGATGAGAGAGATCATTGATTGGCTGCTTCCTGCACATACCCCACAGACGACCGAGCCCACAACCCGGGCATGTGCCCTTGAACAGAATTGAACCCGGGACCCTTCAGTTTGCAGGCCGATGCTCTATCTACTAAGCCAAACCAGCCAGGTTGGGAAGACGTTTTTTAAAAGAAAAGAAAAAGCAACTGTTCCTCAAGTATGATGCGATGTGGGAGCTTACATGTGGGCAGAGGATGTGAAGGTGATGGTGGATAAAAGGAGAGAGACCCCGCTGGGCGGGCTGGCATGGGGAATTGGAATTACAATGCCGTGGCTGCTCAGAGGACAGTCTGTGAAGTTTGCATGCGGAGCACAAGGACCCTGTTGATGGTTGCAGTTGCTCCTGGAGGCCCGGCGTGGCTGCTGGGTTGATGTTGGAGACTTAGCATGTGGCCAGGTGCACTCCCATTTAGAAAGCGGGGTACGGGGTTCTGCGAGCTGGTAATGGGGAGCGTGTGGAAGGCTGTCCCATGTGAACACAGATGTGTAATGACCTTTTGGTCCTAAGTTACAGGAATGTTTGAGAGTTTTCCAGCTGCTACAGTGACAGAGCTAAGAATGCAATATTAGGAAGTCTGTGGCTCTTGGTGGATTTTCTAAGGAACCTGAATCAGTAGCATATGTACGAGGGAAGTGAAGCTCTCAAAAGGAAATGGTACCTCATTCCTCATGTGTTTTCAAATAAGTGTCTATCTTTACTTCTGACCAGGGGCTGGTGGCCTCGGAACGGTCCCATCCCCTCCGTGCTGTCCTGGCACAGGTGGTCCTGCCTCGCTGCCCGGCAGCCTTCCTGTGCGTGTCCATGTCAGTGTCACCAGTTGCTGGGGAGGAGGCGCCTTTCATTGGAGATGTCGACTCCAGTCTTGGCTCTGCCATTGGCTGCTCGGTGTTGGGTGAGCTGTAACCTCTCTGTGCCTTAGTTTCTTGTCTCACAGAAGAGATTGTTGCCAGACCTAGGACTACCTCACAGGCTTTAGTGAGGACAAGGGAGATTAGGGAGACTCAGGAGCCTTCTGTACCAAGACTCCTAATGCTGGCTGTGTGCTGGAACCACTCCTGACAGGGCTGGAGTCCACACGGAGCCCCAACACCCACCCCGGCGATTGAATCAGAACCTCGGGCAGCGGTGCGCTCCACCATGCCTGGACCCGCTGCTTGAGGAGGAAGGGAAAACACATTCTTATCACCTGGAAAGAACCCGGTAGGGCCCAGGGCTTTTAAAAAGTTCCTCTTGGAAGAACAGGCATTTCTTTCCGGAAGGACCCGGTGCTGACATGTATTCATGCTACCAGTGCCGTCTAAGCAGTTCTCTCTGCTTCTTGTCAAACAGGCCTTCATCCACTTACAGTACGGAAGACTTGGCAACGAATGTAAACAGACAGGAATTTATAAATCTGCTAAATAGGCATTAAGGTTATTAATTCTTGAGAGAAAAGCCCCTTTCCTCACACTTAACTCCTGCGGTATTTAGAGCTCAGTTTTACCCAGAACATGCAAGTGCCTCAGTGTCTGTGTGGTACAGAGGAGCAGGTGTTGGCATACTTACCGTGGACACGGTATTTCCCCGGCGCCTTGGATGTTTATCACAGACTTGGGGTGAGCAGTATGCTGGGAAGGGACGGGATCCACGGCACCCACAGGGAGTGAAGCTACAGAGTGTGTTTAACTGCTGGCACTGTCAGGCTGCGATGCATGTGGTGGTGGTGGCGGGGGGGAGGATTCTACTGGAAAAGACAATGCCCCTGAGTGGTCCCACAGCATGTGGGAGCCATGAAGGAAATTCAGAGATACACGGACTCTGTACCTAAGAGGAAATGACTTCTGAAATAAGGTGATGTTATGAATGTTTAAAATGCCTGGAGCATTAAAGTGAAGTAATCATATTTCAAGTGTTCTTGTCCCTTTGGTTCTGTCATCTTGTTTGTGTTGACTGTCCTAGCAACCATCGGTTGTTTGAGTCCATGACTCTGTCAGTCAGACTTTCTGTAAAGTGTCAGACAGTAAATACTCAGGCTCTGCAGGCCATGCAGGGTCTCTATGCATTTTCTTCTTTGCCTTTTCCCCAGCTCTTAGGAAATATATAAAGCATTCTTAGCTCAAAGGCCACACAAAAACAAACCAGGTGTGGACATTATTGGCTCAACCCAGCATGTTGTCTAATACTAACTCAAAAGATTGTCCCTTGTAATTGAGATGTACATGGGTTTTAAAACCTTCCACATAGTTCTAAGAGTATATAAGGCCCCAACAGACACTGACAATATTGTGTTGAAAGCCTGGGCAATGTGTATGTGTGTGTGTGGGGGGGTGTTGAGTGAGGGAGGATTATAGGGGGGAGGGAGCCAATGCGGGGAAGGGGTAAAGATAAATTTCTTAAAAATGAATATAGAAGGCCACACATGTGTGTGCCCAGGGGAGACCTGAATTCCCTCAGCTTTCACCTCTGTCTGACTTGGAGGGTCTTCACAAGCAAGAAGTGATGACTAAGGCAGAGCTGTAACCTCCTTCCTGAGCATGAAGGCACCACACACACACACACACACACACACACACAGCAGTCCCTGGGCAAAGACTAGGAAACTTAATTGTTCCAGGCTATTTAGGAAATCTCTATGCGATCAGTTGCCACTAAGGTAACTGAACAGAGACTTTGGTGGCCACACATAACAAAAAATACAGGTTTTACAGAATTAGCTCAGGAGTCACTAAATAGTTACAATAATAAACTCTGGAGAGGGGTAAGTATCTGGTCTCCAAAGTTGGCTCGCTCTATCATTAAAATCTTCCAATGTTTAACACAAATTGTGGGATATGCAAAGAAAGTATGGCCCTAGAGGGAAAAGGCAGTCCAATAAAAATGGTCCCTGAGGAAGCCCAGGTATTGAACTTAGTATACACACAGACTTTAACTCCGGCTCTTTAAAGTATGCTTACAGAACTAAGTGAGAAGAATGGCATTGAAAAGTACAACCATATAAATAAAAAATTCATTACAGGTGTTCAAAAGCAGGTTTGAGCTGGAAAAAAGGAATCTGTGAATCTAAAGTCCATTGAGATTATTCAGGCTGCAGAACAAAAGAAAAAAGAAGAAAAATGTACAGCACTCTAGAGATCTGTCCAGAGACATGCATGTATACCAACATATACATAACAAGGGTCCTAGAAAAGAAAGGGGCAGAAAACTTTCCCACTTTGGTGAAAAACACTAAAATGCATGTGAAAAATTTAATGAGCTTCAAGTAGGATAGACACAAAGAGATCCACATCAATACACATTAATCACTAAGAAAATAACTTTAATTATAGTAAAAAAAAAAAAGACAGGAACTAATATATTACACTAGAAATAACTAACAAAAGTGAAGGCAGTGCTGAAACCGGTTTGGCTCAGTGGATAGAGTAGGGGTGTCGAACTCAATCAGAGAAGGGGCCAAAATCTAAAATCCAGCCTAAATCGCGGGCGAATGGTTTACTGAACAGTCATAAACTGTCATTGTGATGGAAACGCAGCGGAGTGCAGTGATGACAGCGCGGTACGGGCCACATTGCAAGGCCTGGCGGGACGGATTTGGCCCGCGGGCCTTGTGTTTGACACATGTGGGATAGAGCATCGGTCTGTGGACTGAAGGGTCCCGGGTTCGATTCTTGGTTGCGGGCACATCCCCGGTAGGGTGTGTGCAAGAGGCAGTTAATCAATGTTTCTCTCTCATCGATGTTTCTAACTCTCTCTTCCTCTCTGTAAAAAATAAATAAATAAATAAATAAAATAAAATAAAATTATATATATATATAAATATATATATATAAATATATATATATATATATATATATATATATATAAACAATCCATGGTTTTATTACACACACACACACATATATATATATATATATATATATATATATATGTAATAAAACCATGGATTGGCAGGGCTTTTGGTTTAAAAAAAAAAGTGAAAAATAAAGTGAAGGCAGTAATGAAGGAATAAGGGGAGGTATAAGGCAAACAGAAAACAAATAGCAAAATGGCAGACATAATCCTACCTTATCAGAAGTTTCATTAAATGTAAATGGATTAAACACTTCAAACAAAAGGCACAGATGGCAAAATGGATTAAAAAAGAAAACCAAACTACCATGATCCACCTCTGCAATCTACTAAAGACAGAAATAGATGAGAGCAAAAGGATGAAAAAAGATATACTGTGTAGTAATTCAAAGAGAGTTTGAGTAGCCATTCAATATTAAACAAAATAGGCTTTAAGAAACAAAGTTATCACTATAGGCAAAGGACAATTTTTTTTTTTTTTTTTTTTTT